CCTTGGGAAGGACTTGATAGGTGGATAAAAATGCCAAATTCAGTCTAAACATCTGGCTGACCATGCGACCAAGAATAATAATACAAAATCACCATCACTCAATTGCAAAAGGCAGCTTTACTTGGAACAGCTTACATTCTGTGACGATACCTTTAATATCATCAAACAACAGTATCTGCCTATCCCAGGTCCTTGGGAAGGACTCGATAAGTGGATAAAAATGCCAAATCAGTCTAAACATCTGGCTGACTGTGTGACCAACAATAATAATATACTTATGTGTACAAGAACTCAGGAAGAATCTACAGTACAGGTGAAACTCGAAAAATTAGAATATCGTGCAAATGTTCATTTATTTCAGTAAGGCAACTCAAAAGGTGAAACTAATATATGAGATATACATTGGAAATATGATAGAAGAAGAATCATTCTCATTTTCATCCCATTATGTAACAAGATGCTGAGAACGACCAGTCAAAGCCCTCCCACCATTTTATCCTTTGGACATATTCTTATGGAATTGCAATTTTAACAATGAAAATAACTTACATTGTTGTTTTTCTGTTCACAATTCTTTCAAAGTAATTCTGGCCGCTTAAGCTTATTTGTGCAAACCATATTTTCTCTTGGTTTTCTTGGAAGGATGTACTGGATGACAGAGCTGGTCTAAAGAAAAGAAAAGAAGAATAAACTGGCATGTTTTAACAGAAGGTACTTAAATAATCAAATGTATTATCTATGTACTCATTTCCAATTAATTTAAAATTGCATATGTGCACAAGATATATATGTTGCATCATTTTATTTCATAGTACATATCATAATACCATGTGAAATCCATTATCACCTACTACATAATAACCCCAATACTCCAAAATATTCTCTTAGATGACTCTGAAAACAATCACACAAAATTTGCCATGTTAGAGGGGATGGCAACTGGTAGCCCTGAGCTCAACCTGTTTTACATGGATGTTGATAATTTTTCTTCTTGAAACAATATGGGAAGGAATTTAAAAGGAAGAAACAGGGGCATAAACATGGAATTGATGGGAACTATCTTCATTTCTAATTTTTTTCAGCTTTCAATTTGGTTTCCCCAAATTGAAAGCTGAAAAAAGTATTTGATAAATAAAAATATTTATTTTTTAAATTTGATATAGAAATAAAGTATTTGATAAATAAAAATAAAATAAGTATTTGATAAATAAAAATAAAATAAG